CAGCACCGCTTTTCACCCGCAGACGGATGGTCAGAGCGAGCGGACCATCCATACTTTGGAGGATATGCTGCGGGCATGTGTCTTAGACTTCGGTGGTAGCTGGGATACCTATCTTCCATTAGCTGAGTTCTCCTACAACAACAGCTATCACGCGAGTATCGATCGTCCTCCCTTCGAGATGTTATACGGGAGGAAGTACAGGACCCCGATTTGCTGGGGTGAGGTTGGGCAGAGAGTCATGGGGAGTACCGAAGTTGTACTCAAGACGACGGAGAGGATCCAGCATGTCCGAAGCAGGCTTCAGACTGCTCAAAGTCGGCAGAAAAGTTATGCCGACAAGCGTCGTTCGGACCTGGAGTTCCAGGACGAGGATATGGTACTCCTGATGGTGTCACCTTGGAAAGGAATCATACGGTTCAGGAAGCGGGGCAATTTAGGCCCTAGATACATCGGTCCTTTTAGGGTTGCTGCCCTGGTGGGCAAGGTGGCGTATAGGCTGGATCTGCCAGCCGATCTTAGTCAGATTCATAGCACCTTTCACGTCTCCCAGCTACGGAAATGCTTGGTAGACGACTCTGCAGTGGTATCTCTTAAGGATATTCAGGTGGATGACAGTCTGAACTACATTGAGCGACCAGTAGCTATCCTCGCCCGGAATTCGAAGGACCTGAGGAACAAGAGAGTTGAGCTGGTGAAGGTGCAATGGCAGCACCGTAAGGGCTCAGAATGGACTTGGGAGCCGGAGGACGAGATGAGGGAACACTACCCCGAGCTTTTCCCAGACGCAGCAGCAGACTTCGAGGACGAAGTCTAAAATAAGTGGGGAGAGTTGTAACACCCGTGTGACATCCCCATTTTCACGGCCAGAAAAGACCGATTTTGTTTATGCTTTGTTTGAAAATCAGAGTAACCTTTTAAAGAAAAGTGTGGTGGAATTTGTTCCCAGAAAAACATGATAAATACGTTATCAAGCATTTTCGAAGAAATGTGTTTTATTCATATTTAAAACATTGGGATGTCATCGTCAATACAGAAACATAAGCATAAACAGAACTTACATTGGGATGACATCCCCATTTTCACGGCCAGAAAAGACCGATTTTGTTTATGCTTTGTTTGAAAATCAGAGTAACCTTTTAAAGAAAAGTGTGGTGGAATTTGTTCCCAGAAAAACATGATAAATACGTTATCAATCATTTCCGAAGAAATGTGTTTTATTCATATTTAAAACATTGGGATGTCATCGTCAATACAGAAACATAAGCATAAACAGAACTTACATTCATTATCACTAGTGATTTACATCTCCTTAATCTCTCAGTGTAATGTAACTTCATATAGACACCTGTGATACAAATAAACTGAGTGGGTCAGGTTGAGAAACCTGGTGAGTACATAGGGTTTTCAACCCACAATAATATAATTATTATGCTTAAACATCAAACAATCAACCCAATTACCCAATTATCTTCTTTACTCTTAAGGATCTACCCTAAGAATCAGCTATTTCTCGTTCATTTATTCCTAGGGATTATCCTAAGGAGTAGGCACGAAGTCCATCATTGCCTATGACACAGCTGTCAAGCACATCTGCTAGTTCTATCCCTTAGGCGCAGCTACCAGAATTGTGACATTCTCTATGAGGCGCAGCTGCCGGTATTGTCCTTCGGGCACAGCTGCCAGGGTTATCTCGTTTATGGACAGTATCATTTTCGATTGTCATCCATACTCTGCTAGATGACGGGGCCAGCATTTAGGTAAAAGGCTTCTCACATCGTCCACCTCTCACCATCACCTCATGGTCTATTTCACCTCTCACCTCATCATCCGACTCATATTTCATCTACCCATGTTTACCCAACATATTTTGTAGATATAAAATATATATACAGTTTAAATCATTTAAAACATCTATAAAATTGTTCATCCAGCATAGATAGCAAGTATACAGATAAGATTCACACATAGCACGTAATTTATATTAAATACTTCATATCTATGTGTAAGATGAAAGTAACTATGCACTCACTTGATAAGGTGGTGACTCGGTACTCGGACAGCGCTTCGTTTACTTTAAAACAACTCATTTGACAGAACCTAGTATCATTACCACTAGAGTTTAATCTAATGTTCGACGAGACTAATTAATAGTATAGCTATTATTACCATTATATAAGCGTTAAACAATACTCTTCACCCACTATGTACAGACAGGGGCCAGACATGGAACACCGGAGGGCAGGATCATTTTGGCGTATAGCACTTCTGAATCCAGCAACCCAAGCGCCCCTCCGAACCAGATTCTCCGTATCGCGAGTGGTTAAAAAGACATTATAACGACACTTATATAACTCATAACAATAGCCTAAATACTCATTATAAGGTCCTAATAACATTGCTATATTATAACATAAGCTATACTAAAGATAGGGTAGGCATAGCTCACTTACAAAAGGGTTTTCTCAAAACCGGGCTCCGCCGGAGCAGAGTTTCTGAGCCGAATGGCTCTTTTCTTGGGGCTTCGGAAGCCTCGGGGCTTCCTTCGGGTGCTAGGGGGTTTACCTAGACTTTAGGGGGGGGGGTTTGGGGCTTAGAGAGAGAAAGTAGAGAGAGAATGTGAGTTTGGGAAAGTGTGAAGAATGAGGGAACGCGACACGTCTATTTATAGGCTGGAATCCTGCTCTACTCGTCGAGTAGGAGGTCCTACTCGTCGATTCCATGGCCAGGTGTCACCACCTGGTGGCTTGCCTTGGGGAGAAAGCCTTGGCCCATATTCAGCCACGTCACCCGATTTCGCACAGCACCCTGCCGACTTTTAAACCCCGTAACTTTCGCATACAAGCTCCGTTTTCGACGTTATTTATATCCACGCGTAGGTAAAACAAGATCTACAACTTTCGTTTAGACTCCGTCGGATAATTCTCGACTGATATTAAATTTAACAGTAGGAGGAGATTAGACTGTTAAATGGCCGCGAAGAATTCGTAACTCCTTCATACGGACTCCGTTTACGTCTGTCTTTTTATCATTGAGTTCCTATTAATGAGATCTTCAACGCTCATTTAGGTTGCGTAGGCCAAAAACCGCTCGAACTAAAATCCGAGTTTCGGGACGTGCACTGCTATGCCTAATCTTAGAAAATTCATAACTTCCTCATACGAAGTCAGATTTGGGCGTTCTTTTTTTGTATGTTCTCGGTTTAACGTATACTACAACTTTTGTTTAGATCACTAAGGCTAAAAAGTCCTCTATCATAAATTCACTATTTACGTCTCCCCGGTGCCGTGTTGGTTTTGCCGTAAAACTTCGACGTGCCATAACTTCTTCGTTATAACTCGGATTTCGGCGTTATTTATATGTACGGAACCCTTGAGACATATTCTACAACTTGGTTAAGATTATTTATTATAAATAATATTTTGTCGAAAAGTCGTTTTCGACCCCTATTATCTCTAAATTGACTAGCCCGGATCTACGGGCGTTACAATTATCTCCCCCTTAGGATGATTACGTCCCGGAATCATCAACGAAACAGGGCTCACATGATGACTCCATATGTTATCTCTTTATCCTAGGTAATAATCGTAACTTCTTTGTTTATTCGAATGAGTATCTAACTCTAAGACTTCCTGACTGCAGGCGGTGCCCGATCTTGGACCCGCTCCCTATCTCACGTTGGACTCCAAATTATGACCCTCAAGTCACAATCTCGATCCTTACTAGAGACTGCCTCTTCTTCTTAACAATCTTAGGATTACTACCATGGACCGATGTGTCATATTGTAATGACCTATCATCGTATGTTGCAACGCTTAGACTCAAGTCTTTTTTGAGTCAAATTTCCAAAACAAACTATACCTCTCTTCATTGTCTAATGTGATATAATCACATCTTAAAAGGTAGCATTCCTAGCTACAAGCAACTATCACGATACCTCTACTGATCGCTTTGATTGTCTTTCACTTCAATCTTCTAGCTTAAGTTAGATGTTACATCGGACTTGGTTCTCTGAACCATGTAACATACTAGTCTTAGTCGGACTCAATTTGATATGACCACTAGGGTCGGATTAACAATCATCTTCTTAGTCATTACCGAAACGATGGTAACGACAGGCATGAACAAAACAGAATCAATTACTAGTGTCTTGATAACCTTGTGACTTTCCCTGGTCCAAGCGTGAGTCATGTGCTTCCGGTAGTATAGGCCTCTACTACCATTCACACCTACTCATACTCGTCCCAAGTATTGTCTCGCAGTCCCCAGGTTCTTATTTCTTAAAACCACAAAACAATTTAACACATATGAATGTGTCCAAACACTACTAGAAAAACAGCCTTTTACGACGCGCAATGCGTGTCGTAAAATGCTCAGACGACGCACAAATGCGCGTCAGGAAAGGCCCTGTCATAACAAGAGACGCCACGCTTTTGCGCGTCGTCTATAGACGACGCGCATTTATGACACACAATGCGTATCATTAAAACCCCTGTCAAGAAAGGCCATGCCATAAATGAAGATGACACACATTTTTGCGTATCGTAAATTTAAATGTTTAAAAAATATATATTTATATATTTATTAATTTTTTAATTAAATTTGCATTTAATGTCTCATAATAGAAAAAAAATACCATATACAAAAAATACAATCCATTGCATAAAATTTAATGTCATACAATTCTATTTCTTACAATATATAAATTTGCATTCATCTAATCAACTATGTGTTTCATACAAAAAATCTATTTCATGCAGCTTCTTCCATTTCCTTTATTAGCAGCTTCCATCATTAATAGCACAACTAACAATTGAAATGAAAAATGCAACACTTGCATTTGCAACATCTTATCTCTTTCAGCTTGAGCTTTCTTTTCCTCTTATAACTCCAGAGCTATTCGCACCCTCTCCAATTCACTCTACATTATAGTATTATTAATATACTATTTATGTATGTGTATGTGTATGGAAAGTACATTGCTATTTCTTGAATACAAGATGTTACAAATCAAGAAACTTACATTGACTGCTGACTACCTGAACTACTCGATCAGATTCATGAGCAGATGCACATGTCCTGTTGCAATTTTCAATCCTTCAACATTTTGATCATCATGCAGTGAATAGTTGCAGGAAGTCATTACATCAGTAGAAAAAAGGTATGAAAAGGTAAAACATGAACTAAAAGGACTGAAAAAAGAAAAAGATGAAACACCCACATGCAAATCCTAGCATTAACAAAAGGTCTGAATGCAGCTCCACCAAACTCTGCACAAATTCCAACACCATAAACTGCAGCCTGAAAGGTGACAAATATATTTATTTAGAATTAAATAAAAAATATAAAATGATAATAGTTTGATATTAAATTATGATGTCCTGGCGAACATCTGTGCTTGTGTCATTGCATGCCTCCAACACCAATGGTAGAAAAGTTTCATAGTATCTGTAACAAGATATAAAATAATTTTTTTTTTTAAATAATAATACTAAAGTAACAAAAGAATAAAAAAAAGCTTACTTTAGAGCTACATCTCCACAATGCTCTGCCACGTCATCAAATATGCAAATTGCTATTCTTTTCTCCTCAGAGGTCCTATCCTTGCCCTAAATTTAAAATGTAAGTCTTATTTTTAATATTTGTATAAAAACTAAAAAAGAAAAAATAATTATTTAAAAAAATATAATTAATGTTACTCAATACTCACCCAGAATGGCATCAAGTAAGGCAAGAGTTCATCAAAAAGAGGCAGAAGAGTACCCAAACAATCACCAACCTAGACTTAACAAAAAAGAAAATATTATGAATAATTTATTAACATAAACAGATTTATAAAAAAATAGATTTTATAATATAAGAGCATATACTTGATCAAAAAGTTCTTCCTCTTGTTTGTTTTCTTCTTCCAACATTTCCCCTTCTTCTGCATCAAAGTCCTCTGATTTGACCCTTTCGCCCCTTTCATTTCTTCTTGCTGAGCTGGCAGTGATCACCTGTTTGATCTCTTCAACAATGCTTCTAACTTGATTTTCATCTAAAAGGGGCCCACAGATTTGTACACATCCCTTGATTGAATCAATCATACTTGAGCAAATTTCAGTCTCAGGTTCCTAAAAGACAAAATCCAGTAAATAAAGATTCATATGAGCAAACAGAAGTCAACAAATAGGGGGAATGACGAAAATAACCTTGTGAAGAGCCTCTACTAAAGCTCGTATGATATAGTCTGACAACTGTTTTACGTATGACTCATTGCGACCCTGAGATTGCCCCTTTTCAACAGCTAGTTTTGCTGAACGAATAAGCTCAGGCATAGCTAAAAAGTCAAAGAAAAAGTCAACACTCAGAAAGAAAATAAAAAATTAACAGTTAAAGTTATCAGGGGTAAAAGAGGTATTTTATTTCACCTGAAACTGCAGCCTTCCTAACTTCTTCATGGAAATAGAATTTAAGATGTGGTACTAATGTTGGGGCAACCTGTTTTTTATTAAAAAGTTAAGCCGGTTTTTTTCAAATGTAAAAAAACAAGAAAGGGTAAAAGAGGAATTTCATTTCACCTGATCGATTCCATGGGAAAAACCCTTCTTTTAATTCATCAGCATAGCAACATCAAAGGGTAAAATGGTCATTAACTCTCTTATCTCCAAGTGTAGCTTTCTCCTCAAGGACACTAGTTTTGATCCCTATTCTCTTATCTCCAAGTGTAATAGTCTCAATGCTGCAATATCAAAGGGTAAAATGGTCATTAACTCTCATTCAAACATTTCATTTATTAAAAATCACACCTTTCATCATCAGACTCGTCAATATCATCGTCTGAATCATCAGCAGAAGTAATTGTAACATCTGGTTTAAGTTGAACAGAATGAAGCAATGGTGGCATCACAACATTCATGTAAGGGAGAAAATCTTGCCCTAGGCACTTGCAGAGTCTTGCCCATGCCTACAACAAAAATATATAATTATAAATTTATAATCTTTAATTCAATTTGTTTTAAAAGATTAAGTTTAATAACAGAAAAAGAAAAGAAGCATACTTGTAACATGTAGCTTATTGTTGGATCATCTGTCTCCAATTGGGAACCTTGAAGTGACATAAGGACATCCATAACCTTGAAACATGTAATAAATTATAAGTTTCCAAGATGAAAAAATAAAAACATTTGTGAATTACATATTTATAAATATATATAAGTATACCTGTTTAGCATCATCTTTGAACTTATCTTTTCCAACAGCCATTCCAACTAAACTAATACACTCCATGGATTTGGCACGAAGCATACAATTAGCTTTATCAGTCGCATTCATGAGTATAGCTTTCAAGTATGGCATAACTGCATCATAATACTTTTGAAAATGCTCCTGTAAAATCATAAACTATGTGAGAACCAATTTAAAAAAAATAAACAAGTTAATGAGAGAATATGAAGATGAATAATACCTGAGATGAATCAGCAACAGATGCCAAAGCAGTCAAAGCTCCCTCTTGCACCATCTGCTTTGGATTCTGGAAATACAAAAATGATTCAGTATTCATATATTCATATCTTTTAAGGTTACTACAAATTATTTATACCTGTAAAAGTACAAGTAATTTCCCCACAATCCCATCCAAGTAAGGTTGTAGAAGTTCTGATGTACAATTTTCACTGAGGTTGAGCACTGCTGAACTCGATTTCGAAATCGCTTTAACTTCAAACAAAGGTTCGCACGTAATTGAATGTCTCACTGATTGGTTCGCAAGTCGACACTTTCGTTCGGAGTTTTGCAATTGGAATCCGAAATCAGTCACACGAATCTGAATCAAAGTTCAGATGTTCGTGTTCTTGGCTCGCTGAATTGTCATTAGATTCGCAGTTCACGGTCTCGGAATTAGAGGAAACTACTTTCGTTTTCTTGGAATTTAATCGATTCGCAGGTTTGGTAAATATTCGTCGTTCGTATCTTTCATGGAGTATGGGATCGGAGGTTCGTAGTTGGTGGTCTGATTTTGACTTTCCAAAGTACGAACAGTGCCTGAAAAACATGCATACATGATACAACAATGAAATCTACAAATACATATCGAAAGATAAAAAAAAACATATCATTACTCATTAGTAGTATCTTTACTCACCTGAACTCGTGGATTATGGAAATCATCCATTGTTGAAGCTAGTGATGGAAGAACAAGATGATGATATTGGTTTTGCAAGTCTGGGCCCAAGTGTCTCTCTCTCTCTCTCTCTCTCTCTCTCTCTCTCTCTCTCTCTCTCTCTCTCTCTCTCTCTCTCTCTCCGGGAGAGTTCAATTTCACCTTTTATTTCCACCGGAGACGCCACCTATTAAGGGTTCGCGGATGATGAATTTATGAAAATGGTGAATTTCCCTTTTCTGTGACCGATGTCATGAACAACATTTGTTACAGCCGCCTTCGATCCTAGATTGTCCTTGAATCTCTTAGGAATTCCTAGCCCGATAATGATCTCGATTCCGGATCCTTTGAAAGCTTTGTGAACTTCATGATCGGCGTCGTAGATTGCAAGAAATGAGGAGTGGTGATGATATTAAGGTTTTTTGGGTATTGATAAGTGAGAGAGAAGAACTATTGAAATAAGGCAGAGGATAAAATGGCGGCCTTTCAAAATTTTGGGATTTTCGTTTCCCCCAAGCTGCGAAGAAGAAAACGCGCCTTTTGTAAGGGTCGATGTCTTGTAAAGAGTGGAATTGTGTTTAGTCTATTTATGATGTAATGTATTTACTAAGTCATTTTTGTACGAAGGGTAATGGTTCCAGACTTAGTATTTTTTGTGCTCTCATGTTTCCTATAAATAGGGACTGAGCTTTGGTTTAGATTAGGAGTTTTTCAGATTTCATAGTCTACTTTTGTAATCAAACTTATTGAGAGTAATAGAAACTTCAAAGTCTTATTTACTTTCTGAGTTCATTACATTGATTGATCTTGTTCTTAATCGATTTCTCATATACAATTCAACTACAATTGATATCAGAGCAGGAATCAAACTGCATTGATCTAATTTTCTTTCTGAATCATCTGATTTTGAGTCATTTTTTTGTCTCAAAAGTTTCTGCACTTTTGGTTCTGAAAATCACATCTGATCTACAGATTTGATTAGATCCTGCATTCAAATTGTATAATCGAGTGATCGATTATAAGTTTCTGATCAATTCGTTTGATCAAATATCAAATTCATCAAGTTTTCTGTGATTTCTGAATTTTTTTTCTCGTGTGTTCATCAATGGCGAACTTCAACATGAACACAATGACTTCTTATTCTCATCTGCTCGGATCATCAACCAAAATTCCAATGCTGATTCCAGAATACTATGATCAGTGGGCTGATCGTATGGAAGACTACTTGAATGGTCTGGATGAAGAGTTGTGGAATTGCATCAATGGAACAGTTCAACCTCCACCGAATGTTCAAAATATTGGTTCATCTGGAACTACTTCTGCTGTTGGAGAACAACAAACAAGACTGGAGAAACACGAAAAGCGTTGTATGAGAGAATTAAGAGGTGCTTTGCCACCTGTTGTTTATAACTACATTCGTGGTTGTAAAACTGCTAAGGATATCTGGAATACTCTCAAGGAAAAGTATCAAGGAAGCGAGAAGACTAAGATCAATTCTGTTAAGCAATGTTTGGTTGAGCTGAAAGAGTTCAAACAGAAGGAAACTGAAACAATTGAAGTTTACTATGATCGTCTAAATGAGTTGATCTACAGATGCAATCGCTATGGAATCACAAGGTCTCTAATGGAGTATAATCTTACTTTTGTTATGGGACTTAGGAAGGAGTGGAGGAGTGTTAGTATGATGATCAAAAATCAACAGAGCTTTGATACTTCTTCTTTGAATGATGTTTACAATCAGCTGAAGACACACGAAAGTGAAGTGTCTGAGATAATGGAAGAAGCGAAACAGAGTTTAGGAGGACCACTAGCTCTGGTTTCGAAAGTATCTGAGGTGGAATCTGCTGAAAAAGAGAATTCAGATGAAGAAGGTTTCCTCTTGAATTCGGATGATGAAGCTATAGCTTTTTATTCGAATAATCGAGTTAAGAAGTTTTTCAAAAGGCCTTTTAATTCTAAGGGAAAGCAGAGTGAGTTGAAAGGAAATCTTACGAAGTCTGGTGTAGAAGAGAAAAAGAAATTTGAAAAGTCTGAGAAGGATGATGACAAGGTGAAAGAGTTTAAGGCAGAAAAGAAATTGAAAGGAGATTCTGGTGTAGATTGTCATTACTGCAAAGGTGCGAATCATTTTGCAATTGATTGTATGCTTCGTAAGAAAGAGGAAAAGAAGAATAGAGTGAAGGACGAAGCATACTATGCTGAAAAACTGGAGGAAGTTCGTGAGAAGGCCAAGGGATTGTCTCTTGTGGCAAGAGGAGAGAATGAAGATGAAGAAAGCGGTACTTATCAGATTTGGTCATCCGGGTCTGATGATGAGGAAATGAGACATCCTACTCATGGTGCCATGTATGCAGAATTCGAGGATGGAGAAGAAGAAGAGATATCTGGACATTGCTTTGTTTCGAAGTCAAGTGACAAATCTCCAATGACAACAAAGGTACGCTCTATACTCGAATCTTTCAATATTCCTTTACATGCATATGATTCTGAAATAATTGCTTTTGATGATACTGTTGCTTACTTTGATGCTATTGTTGTGTCTGCTAGTAATGAGGCAAAGAAACTTAATAATCAATTGCTTGAGACTCAAAAGATGCTAGACACGAAACGTTGCAGGGTAGAGTATCTAGAGTTGCAATTAGAAAATGTCAATTGTGATCGAGAGAATCTAGATAAAGATGTAAGAATGTTGTTGGCTCAACGTAACATCTATTGTAATTCTGCAAAACGGTTATATGCAAAATTAACAGCATTACATCATTCTTCTGATATTAGCAAAGAACAACATCGAAAACTATTGCCTTTTCTTGCATTCGAAAGAGAAAAAGTTGATGTCATGTCATATGATTGTGAAAACACAATAGCTGATTTTAACAAAGTACCAGACGATAGGTTTGCATATGGCGTTGTTAAGATAGATGAGTTTTTAAATGCTGATGAATTGGTTAATATTGTTAATGAAAGTTTGACAAAAGATGAACAAGTGAAAATTTTGAAAAGAACTGAACATTCGAAACTTGATTCACAACTCAATTTTGCTGATGTCGATGAGAATTCGGATAATCTTAGCGAAATCAGTGAAATTGAAGAAGAAGAAAGTATTGATTGTTCTCAGTTGTCTATCATTAACATCACATCTAAGGCCAAAGGTAAAGAAATTGTTAATGATTCGATGGTTGAGGATGACATTGGAAAACCCTCTACTTCGAAATTATTTGACTTTGATGAAGTGGAAGTTCGAGACAGTCAGACAGATAGTAGTGATGATGAGGAGGATGAAATCAAAGCTTCGAATGTTTGTAAAACAGAAAAGAAAGTTTCAACTGAAACTTCAATTCCAAGAGTTGTTGTTGAACAAGTTTATGGAGAAACTGAAAATTTTGACAAGGTGATGAATGACAAAGGTGCTCACTATTTGGAAACTCATACTGTCGTGTATCCGAATTTTACATGCACAGATGATGTAGTTTTTCCAAATCAAGTATTTGTCACAACTGGGAATGCTGAGAACGTCAAGCCCGAATTCAACAAATTGGTCGAAGAAGACAATAAGCGTTCCACTGATGAAGGATTCTTTGCAAATCAAAACACTGTTGAAAACAATCTCACTAAGAATTCGTATGTTTTTCAAAAACAAAACTCAAAACAAAAATGGGTTGTTAAATCAGAAAAAGAAAAAGATGTTGTTACAAAAGAAGTTGTTTATTCAACTCCAATTGTGAAACTCAATTCAAACGAATTCAAAGTGCTTGTTAACAATTTTTCAAAAGAACACAAAGTTTCAAAAAGAAAGGCACGAAAAGTAATTTTTTGGCAAGTAGTGTCTAACGAAAAACCCGCTCTAACTAAATCCAAAGTTTCGTATGAGACAGTTAGTGTTTCAAAATCTAAATTCTCAAATTCTTCAAAAACCAAGAGTTCTCAAAAACCAATTGTCACAGAAAAACAAAAAGACACGTCTTTTCATCATCCAATGAGTGTAATAGACAAATTTCCAATAAATCAAAAGGTTGCACATATTCGAAAATTTGATAACATTCGAAAGTATGAGAAATCACACCAAGTTGTGAATGATCAAAAACTTAACAATGTTCGAAAATCAACGAATAGTCAACAAGTTCCAAACAAAACTTTCAAATCAAAAGTTACATTTACTCCACAAAAGCCAAATTTTCCAAATCCTTCAATCACAAAACCAACAAGAGTTTCGTGTTCAAATGAAAAATCAGAAATTCATTCTATCAACAATTGGCTTGAAGGACAAGGCAAAAGGTATCAGTCTGGGAGGTTTTCTCAAGTTCAGATCAAAACAGCTTATGAGAAGTATTTGAATGAGTCAACAACTAGAAGTTTATCTTCTCAAGATTCAGAAATTCCGAAACAGAGATGGAAACCAATCAACAAATTAACAAGAATTGAGAAGCCTGAGGTGCAATCTAATGAAAGTCCAAAACTATCGAAAAATTATATTTCAATATCTTTAGATAATGATGTTGATTTAATTGATAGTATAACTGCAAAAATTCGAACTTGGGCTTTTAATTCTAAAATTCACTCCTTGTTTCAAACTAATAACCAAGGACCCAAAAAGCCTTGGGTACCTAAATTCTTTAATTAAATGCAGGTACTTTGTGACGAGCAATATGATACGAAGTGGTATATTGATAGTGGTTGCTCACGTCACATGACTGGAAGGAAGGAGAACTTAAGAGATTTTCGAAGTCTTGAAAATGCTGGGGTGGTGAAATTTGGTAATAATCAAAAATGTCAAGTGAAAGGATATGGCAAAGTAACGAATGGGCAATTCACAGTAAATCGCGTTGCATATGTGGAAGGTCTTCAACATAACTTGATTAGTGTTTCACAATTAGTTGTGGGCACTGGAAATCAAGTGGTGTTTAACGAAGAAGGGAGTATAATCTCAAAAGTCAAGACGAATGAAGTATTGCTAAAATCGAAACGATATGGCGATATGTTCACACTCGATATTAAACCAATAATGGGCAAACCATCTGTTTGTCTACTTTCGAAAGCTTCAAGTGATGTCAGTTGGTTATGGCATAGACGTTTATCACATTTAAACTTTCGAAATCTAAACAAGCTGGTTACAGAAGATTTAGTTCGTGGTCTTCCTGTGTTAAAATTTGATAATAATACTCTTTGTGCAGCTTGCGAACAAGGAAAACAACATCGCAAAGGACATCCTATCGTGATAGACTCAAAAATTGTTGAACCATTGGAACTTCTTCATATTGACCTTTGTGGACCTTCGACTGTTGAAACAATTAACAAGAAACGGTACATTTTGGTTATAGTTGATGATTTTTCACGGTTCACATGGGTATTTTTTCTCAGGTTAAAATCTGAAGTAGCTCAAACAATGATTGATTTTATCAAAAAGATAGAGATGAGTCTGAAAAAGAATGTTCGTCGAATAAAGAGTGATAATGGCACTGAGTTTAAGAATAAGATGTTGGATTCGTTCTTAACTGAAAAAGGAATTTCGCATAATTTCTCATCACCATATACACCACAACAAAATGGTGTTGTTGAAAGAAGAAACAGATCATTGTGTGAG